TATATATATATATATATATATATATATATATATATATATATATATATATATATATATATATATATATATTTTTGCATACAAAATTTTTTTACCAGAGAACTAGTTTCTATTAAGATTATAATAAGAAATTAATAGCTCTTGTCCTCTACTGTGGAATTCTTTTTGCAACGATCTTTTGCACCTCCACCATGAAAAGTCCAACGTGAATTTCACGCGCCGACAGCTTCAGGCGGAATTAGTCTCATGAGAGAAATAAAACGATGGTCGAACATAACGATAGAGAGGAAGAGGCGGAATGCTGGTTGACAGATATCCCTACGTGCCGCATTGTCTACGCGTGCGTGCGTTAAACGAGGCGCTATTTTAATTATCGTCCCGTCTAACGGAATCCGCTTTGAGAAAATGAGCGGAAATTGTTCGCGCTCGCGCTTACGGGCAAAGCATCCGTGCCGCATTCGCGCCGCATCCTCGACGCCCCGCGACGGATGCCACGCCGGGCACACCGGCGCGACAACGCATTCGTGAACGCATTCCGCGAAACCGTGCGGAAATCAGAGCGCATATCCGTCGAGCGTATCGTCGGATCGCCGTCTGTGACGCGTAATCATGTAAGATGGAAGGTCGGAGGAGAAACGCGTCGGCGGGAAATCACGGCGGGATACGGCCGCGGATGCCGTCATACAAACGCAAATGGAAGATGCGATTGTTGACTGTCCGCGGATTAAACGAGTGACTTCAACTCGCTGTCACGCGCGCTCTCCTTTGTTCTCCCCGGGGGCCTTTTCTCCCTGACGTGAGTTTCCGCGTTTTCTTCGACCGTTATGATTATCCGCGGAAAGAGGAGGACTAACGAGAGGTGCGGCAAGGTTCGTGTAAAATTCCAAGAATCTGAAACTTTGCAAAAGTAAAAGTAGATGGACGTAATCGCAAAATAATTTTTTGTTGCTACTGATATTTAGGGGTGATAATATCCCTTCGATAAAAATTGTTTTTTTTTTCTAGGCGAATTTTACAATTTCATAAATACTTTACAACGATATAATTAGATTTTTTCAAAATATTAAATTTTTCAAAATCCGTGCACCATTTACGATTTATTTTTAAACTAAAAAGTAATTCGGCGTGAAATGAACTTCAATTTCAGTTAGGAAAAATATTTTTTAGTTTAAAAACAAGTCATAGATGGTGGGAGTACTTTGAAAAATTCAATATTTTGAAAAAATTTAATCACCATTGTATATTGTATTTGTTTTGTAAAAGTATTTATAAAACTATGAAACTTTTATTTGAAATATTTTTTCTCATTGTTTTGACGATATTTGCTTAGAAAAGATCGATTTTTTCCCTGAAATCATATATCGGCAGCAACAAAAAATTGATTTCGTGATTAGATCCATCTATCCTACTTGTACTTTTGCAAAGTTTCAAATTTCTTTTTGAATTTTATACTTGCCGAAATTTTCTTGTAAGAAAAATTGCGTCGCGGACGACACCGCGGATGACATTACGTCACGCAAATCAAGACAAAAGAGAGACGTGCGAAATAACAGACCATTACGATTTCGGCGCGAGTGCGCTAATGGGCACTCACGCGCGATCGTAACCACCATCGAAACATATGATTCTTTTTGTCCCGTGTGTTTTATGCGATTAGTTTGTGCACACGACAAAGTAATTGCGTGTGATCAACGCGTCGTGGCTAATCGCGACTCTTGACGGCAGAGAGCCGAGAAAGCGACTATTAATTAAACGTCTTGTGACCGTCCTTTTATCTTTCTCTCTCGCTCGAGGGTTTGAACGCGCGAGAAATTGATGACAAGTTCAAGAAGAGAATATAACATCCGTTCGCGCGAGATTAGACTAATTTAATTCCTCTTTAATTTCGACGAGATCGATCGATTATTCCTCCCGCCCGTGGAACGAAAGCGACGGAGGTACAAACAATAATGGCCGCGTGGAGTGAAAGCACCTGCTTCTCGCAAGAATCGCGTATGCGCCAAATTTGGCATGCATTAATTATCCAATCGCACGAACCATCCATCGCGACCGATCCCCCCCCCCTTTCCCCCCCGTCCGGTCGCTGACGTATTATTTGCAACGCGGAAGTTTTTGCAACGCGAAAAATTTCCGCGCGACGTACAGACACGCCGCGGTGCCTTTTCGAAAGGCTTTTTCGCGGATTCCGCGGAGCGGAAAGTTTGAATCTGAAACGCAGGCATCGAATGCGGGGCAGGCATCGGGCAGAGCGCTATTATACGGCGCAGTCCTCCGAGGAACGGCCGGCGGAAATAGCGCCCGAACCACGGCCATCCGTAAAGAGGCCAGACCTCATGAAAAAAAAAAAAAAAAAAGAGTCGTTAACTCGAGTAAAGGCCACGACGAAAAAATCGTGCCAGTTCTTCGGGCCGCGGCGGCGTGTCGCGATGCGGCGCGCGATCGGACCGCAACTAGACCGAGTAAAAAACTAGACCTGGCCGCGAATCGCACACCTCCGTGAGCACAAAGGACAAGCTCTGAAATTGTTTATCTAACGAACGAATCACCTGGAATATCAAAATGAGGGGGGAAACGACGAACGGAGTCTGGAAACTGGCTGACGACGAATGGGGAGCTCGCGATAATTCTCGCGGCAGAATCCACGAAGGAGGCATCGCCCGTACATCCTGTCCAGCGCCTGCCGTTCGCGATAATTATACTCGAATGTCGGGGGGACAAATGAAATATATTGCGAAAGACGGGCGAAAGACGGGATGGGGAAGAGCTGAAATAGCGGCGACCGGTTTCCGGAGCTGGCCGGCGCGGCGGCAGCCGAGCGCTGCACCTCTTCGGGGCTCAGCCCGAGCTGAAATGGAAAGCGATTTTAAAAGCGCCTGGGCAATCGCGTTATTACTATCGCCTTTCCCTTCTATCGCCTCGGGTAAGCGAGATATAAATCGCTCGTACGCGCGCGGTATACCCGCCGGTACCGGTATGCGGCGCATAATTAAGCCCGTATTTTCGATGTAACATTCCGCGAACTAAACGAGCCCCTCGCGAGCACCTGTGCGTGTCTTCCACGAAAGTTAGAGTCGGCTATCTAAATTGTGTTGTGTGTGAGCAATGACGCGCTTCGAGTTTTGTAACATTTATCGGTAGCATTATTGGCTTGTTATGTAATTGATAGGAGTAAATGGATAGCGATAGATTAGCATGTTACAAGCCACGTAAATGCTGCTGTTGCTTCAGCCAATAAACGGTGACCTCGATGTCTGCTCCCGTTGACGATGATTAATTGGTTTATGGTCGATGATATTTTTGTCCTTTATATCACGAGACTCCGAGACTCGTTTCGTTTCAGGAAGAATACGTCTCCGAGAACATCAGATGGGCGCCGATAGACTACTTCAACAATGCCGTCGTGGTGGAGCTTCTCGAGGGCAAGAGGCCACCCGGTCTCTTCTTGGTCCTCGACGATGTGTGCGCGACGCTGCACGGTGGAAGCACGGGTGCCGACGTCGACTTGAAGAAGGTACTCAAAGCGGTGTTTATCTTTAACAGGATTGGGTAATAACGGACCCACCAAAAAAGTTGAAAGTTAACAAATGAAATTAAAAATCTAATAACTCTTAACTTTGTGAATTTTAAATGAATTAATTTATAACGTATCAACTAGTTCCTTTAAAATAGATAAATTTTAACTTTTTTCCTAAGTTAAAAATTTATCTATGTAGAAGGAAACATTGTAAAAGAAAAAAACGCATTAAAAGAACAACATTTCTTCTTTCTAATATAAATTTAATTTATAAATAAAATATTAAATTTATTTGGTGATTGTAATTATTGTAATTATTTTGTTAATTTAGAATATTTTAATTTTAAAAAATTACGACGTTCTAATTTAATATAAATAATGTCTTTAAAGTTAATTTAACTTACTTTTAACGTAACCGAGTTAGTTTTTTTGTTCGTGTAACTTTCAACTTTTTTGTAATTAAATTAATTTCATAAGCTATTAATTTTAATTTAATTTAGTTAAAAAATATTAACTTACCCTAACTTACTATGATTTTTAAATGCGCAACACGTTCTACAGAAAAATTAATATATTGTGAATTATCGTATCGTCGTATGTCGTAGAAATTGGCAGGGGCGGCTAAACAACACGCTCATTTTCAAGACATCGGTGATGGTTTCGCAATTCTACATTACGCCGGCGTTGTATCCTACTCTGTCGATGGCTTCTGTGATAAGAACAGGGATGTCCTCTTCTTGGACCTGATCGAGTTGATGCAGACCAGCACAAAGTAAGCAATCCCGAAGGCCATTGTAGTACAACTGTCGATTGTCCGCGTGACAAATTATCCCGAAAGCAGGTTTGCATAAATTAACGCTTGACGGAGATTAATTAATCCGTACTCATTTACCCATTGATTTCGAAAATTTGATAACGAGGAACTAGAAAATGTCGGAAATGGCGGAACGAAGATAAGAGCCTCGCGACATGATATAAAAATTTTTTAAACCTGTGATATTTGTTTGTTGACTTTTTGTGAAATAATAGATTAATTGTTGATAATTAATGTATTTTTCAATAATTTGAAAGAACGCGCAGAGTGGCACTTTGAGTTAATACACTTCAACATTTGCAGTCGGCTTAGTTATCTGGCTGATGAAGATCATTACGTCGTTACGTAAATAATTCCTCGACGATTTAACATAATCATCACGTAATTCTAACCGTCGATCAATTACGCGCACTTATTTACATAAGAGCTGCATGCGCGAGATTCCGCGAAAGTAAACATGATAAACTTAATTCTTGTCATCACATAGTGTCACTTATCCCCTTTTGCTTTTTATCCACGTTTGAAATTTGTTAATTAATGATGTTAATTAAGCGTTATCGAAGTAACGGTTATATTTGGAAAGGTAAAAAAAAAAAAAAAAAAGGAAATGGTATCTATCTTTCAGTTCTTTGGTGCGTGAGCTTTATCCGCTAGAGAACGCCGGCAAAACAAAGACTCTTAAGTCCAGGCCAACCACCGCGGGCAGTAAAATCAGAAATCAAGCCAGCCGCTTGGTCGGCCAGCTGATGAAGTGCACACCACATTACATCCGGTGCATCAAGCCGAATGAAACGAAGAAGCCGCGCGATTGGGATCATCTCAGAGTCAAGCATCAGGTATCACTCATAACTCGCCTCATGCCATTTGCATTATTAGCTATTTGCATATTTGTCTGTCGTTGAAATCCGAAAATATCGAACACGACGACGTCGACTGATCCAAATTTGATTCTGACCTAAAGACATATGTATTTATATATTTTTCCATTATTAAATATGTAAATTAATTCGCCTTGTTTTATAAAAATTTGAATTTTATGACTTAAATAATATAAACTTGATTATCAAGATGGTTTTCACTCACCACTTTCTATAACTTTAGCTTACTTTTCGATCAACTCTTGGATTCCAATGTAAAAAAAAGATAGCGATTTCAATGGGAATGGATATTTAAAGACATCAAATTAATTTACACATCTTTAAACATAATAGAAATTATTAATTATTAAACATAATAGAAAAAATCCAGATGCATATACGCTCAGACAAGATGTTGAGCGCCTATTTTAGGAATTTTAAATTAATAAATTCAATAAATCATTTTCTAATATTTCTAAAATTTCGTTTATTTTGCTACGGATCCAAAAACATAGCAATTGAACGATGTATCCAATCCCCTTAGTGATACGCTAATAATAATTGGAAACCTGTAAGAAATTATTTATGGCAAAAAATTAATTTAATTAAATTAATTGAATAAATTGAAATTAATTTAATTATTAAATAATTTGATGTCGGCGTAAGATTGAAAATTTATCATGTTTTATGTCTTCGCCGAAATTGATACGCAAGTGATACCTGTAGAGCCTCGAGCACAGAATTTGAGAAGAAAAATAAGGAGAAAAATAAGGAAACAAGTTTTCTTAATGGGATTTCCTATATATGGCCTGGTTTATCTCGTGACGGTGTGTCATTTCAGCAAACCATGTCAGACATATATGTCTGGAGCAATTATACAATAACGTTTCTTTCCTTCCTTCTCCGGGTACCATTGAAATTTGCTTTGTTCGAGAAAGTCAATACGACATAGTTTTCCCGTGTTCTAGCTCGCGCTAGAATGATAGTTGCTTTAATATGCAGAGTTCACGGGTTGTGTTCTAGAAACACAATCATGTAATGTACGTAATGTCCCCCGATCGACAGTTGCCGAACAAAAATCGCTTTCTCACGAGCGTGTCAGATTCATAAAGGTCATTTAAGGAAGATCTACGATTTAATCACGCAACGTTTCTGACGTAACATATTTCAGGTGGAGTACCTAGGTTTGAAGGAAAATATCAGAGTGCGCAGGGCTGGCTTCGCTTACAGAAGGCCGTTCGCCAAGTTTCTACACAGATACGCAATTTTCACGAAGGAAACGTGGCCCCGTTGGCCCGGCGATGAGAAGCAGGGCGTAGAATGGATATTGGGAAGCAACCACGTCGATCGATCGCAATATCAGCTTGGCAGATCGAAGCTGTTTATCAAAGCGCCTGAAACCGTGAGTTTTCCTTGTCCCTCCCGACACATCTGCTTCCTCTCTGTTCTTCTCGGTAATAATAAATTGATGATTTCGATCGGGGTATCGGCCAGTAAGTTAATTAAACGAAAATATAACTTAGCTATTCATGCTGGAGGAAGCTCGTGACCGGAAGTACAATATGTACGCGCGAGTCATTCAGAAAGCCTTCAAGAAGTATTTCGCCCGGAAGAGACAGGCGCAGCAGAAACAGGAAGCCGCCGATCTTCTCTTCGGGCATAAGGAACGGAGACGAGCGAGCCTGAATAGAAATTTTGTAGGCGATTATATAGGATTGGAGGGCAAGCCGCAAACGACGAGTCTGATTGGAAGACGGGAAAAAGTGTTCTTTGCCGAAATCGTGAAAAAATACGACAGAAGATTCAAGGTAAAAATATATTAACTTGTCGACAGTTTAGTTTGCGTTCTGTAAAAATTATTCTCTGTAACTTCGTAATTTTAAGAAAAATCTATTTAACAATAAATTATCGGATCGTTTTTTGCAAAATTATGTGTCAAATAATTTATAGATGTGCAGAAGAGATCTCATCCTTACCGGGAAGTGCGTGTATTTGATTGGTCGGGAGCAGATAAAAAAGGGCCCTGAAAAGGGTAAATTTATCGAAGTTATTAAAAGAAAACTTTCGTTCAACCAAATCAGTCATGTATCATTAAGCACGCTACAAGTAATTATTATGATAATAATTTTTATTCTATATACTTTTGCAGTACACTAGTTAGACAACGTTTTGACAACATTTTTCCATTTCAGGACAATTTCATAATAATTCACGTAAAGGAAGACTATGCGAGCTTGTTAGAATCAGTATTCAAAACGGAATTTTTGTCTGCCCTTAGCAAAAAGTATCTAGAAGATATCGGTCACCCTTTAAACATTAGATTCAGCAACGAGTACGGTTATTTATTATATTTTATACACCACTAGCATCACTAATTGATGCTGCTTACATGCAAAATGCATTCTAAAATGATTTACTTTCAGCTTGGAATTTAAAGTTAAGAAAGAAGGTTGGGGTGGCGGTGGAACGAGGCATGTGAAATTTATACAAACGGACTACGGCGACAAAGAGATCTTAAAGATGTCCGGCAAAGTTCTCAGTGTCAGCATTGGTCCAGGATTGCCGAGCACATCGAGTAAGTTGTTTCTTATCGATAATCGTTAACAAATAATATACAGATAGGTAAATTCTCAATTTTCTATTTTATGCTAAACGTCAGAATATTTAAGAATTAAATTTAAGTGTGTAAATTAATTTGATACCTTTAAGATACCTTTAACCACTCGGCTCTCGTGGCAGCATATTGATTTTATGACGTCATAAAATATAGACAAGAAGTGTCATGTAGTAATTTTCTTTCAATGTATAATTTTATTTTTTAGTTTTGTAATGAAATGCAAGATATACCAGAAAATGAGTTATAATAATATTGTGTGAAAATTGATAAATTAAATGTGAAAACTTTGTCAGAAATCGCTGTGTGAATTGAGAAAAGTATCATTATTTCAAGAATTATTTTACACTTCTGGATAATATATCAGATAGATATCTTAGTTTCTGATATATGTTACAAGTTTTAAGAATATGAAAATATTATATTTTTAAGGGAAAACTATACGTTGCAACAAAATTGTTGCATTTCTCGCTTATGACGTCATAAAACCGAGTTAGTGCTCGATTGGCATGTCGAGTGGCTGTTCGAGAGAACCGACCCTTAAATTTATCCATTTCCTATTGAAATCGCTACCTCTCGTTTGCATTGGAATTCAATAATTGGTCGAAAAATAAGCCGAAGTTATGAAAAATGGTGAAATTTTTTTTAATAATCAAGTTTACGTTATTTAATTCAAATAAAGTTCAAATTTTATAATAAAATAAGACATCGAATTAACACATTTAATAATTGGAGAATGTAGAAACACTATGTCTTTTTGTCAATCTAATTTTAGAACCTAATTTGGATCGATCGATGTCATCCCTTCATTTGCGCAACGCCTCGAGGCCGACTCGTCCAGCACCGCAGCTGTGCAATCTAACTCCAATTCTCGCGGGTCCGAATAATCAAGCGATTACGATGAGCGAAAGACCTCCTCTTCGCCCGGTGGCAGCTGCTAGATCTGTAACTCCTTCGCGAACTATTCCAAACGGTAGACCGAACATTCCACCAAATCGTCCAAACGTTCAACCTACGCAGCTTCAAAAGGATATGAGAAATGGGACGAACAATGTGAACAAATTGCGCGATAAGCAAATCATGATGGGCATGTTTATCAATCCCAATGCTGGACCACGTGGTAAGTTCTAATAAATACAATTTGAAAAAAATATTTAAGAAAATTGGCGAAACACCTGGCCAATTGAAGGGAAGAGAAGATAATTTGCTGCGTATTTAATCGCTTTAATATTTAATCGGTTTTTATGGGAAAAAAAATGGATAACGCGTATCAAATCAGGAAAATTATAATAAAAATTATAAATAAAAAAATTCTTATCTTATCTAACTAATGCGCATTCCTTGATAATATTTTATTATAATGCGTTATAATACTGTTAACGTTTGTAAAAGTTCGCGTTCCGTTAAATATATCTGTTTTTGAACTGAATTCAAAGGTTTGCTTAAATTTCCTCCACCACCCACGGAGCCACCACCACCGCAAGAGCCTACAAGATTCAAGTTACCATCCCTTAATGACGAACATAATGGTCAAGTTTCTGGTCTTCTCAATAAAGGAATGCAAACATCCCAAGAATGGATCGTGAAACAAAATAATAATACGTTGAATCGAGAAAGGATGAAGGAAGATAATGTCGCATACGCGGTAGCCAACAAAAAGGTGCCTCCTCAGAAGCCGGCGCCTCCAAGTTTACCAAAAGTCAAAGCATTATACGATTATGAGCCACAGGATTTGGACGAGTTAGGATTCAAAGAAGGTGACATTGTAGAAGTACTCAAAGAACGTGAGTTGTTACGATCTTTTGTTTGTGTAATAAATATTAAATTTATGTAGGAAAGTCAGCTTTGATATATTTTGATGTCGATATATTTTTCAGATGAGGGCGGTTGGTGGCACGGAAGACTGAAAGGGAAAACCGGTCTTTTCCCTTCCAACTACGTAGAAAAGATATGAATTTTCCAATCAAAAAATCCTATCGAATTACATGAAATCGGAACGTAATTTTAATAAATACATCGTACCTGTTATTCGCTGTTTTCATGCACCATAATATTGTGCAAATCTTTAATTGTATGTTAATCAAAAGTTATATTAATTATTATTAATGCCAAAGCCAAGGAAAGTCAAAGAATTTGTAATTCAATAAAAGCGTGATAATTTTGTAAAGATATCGTTATTTAGCAAACATTATTAATGTGAGTCATCATAATGGTTGTAAAACGATAATATTACCATTCAAATCTATGATTACCTAAGTATCCAAAGAAACTTTCCACGTTGCACAATTTGGTGTTTCGTTTGCTAAACTTTAGCCGATAAGGTTAAATTACCGTTATAAAATTTAAGAGCAATACATGTCGGGAAAGTATGATGCTCTTGTCGTTGATTAGTGTACGATAGATACATAATCTGTTTAACTTTTCGTAATGTACAGCGCGATGAATATTTATATAGTCAACACATTGTTACGTTTACCAATATGGAGGTGATGAGCAATCATTTAAATTACATAACTGCGTAACAATACATGGTGTACATATCATTATCATATCACAAGTATATATTAATAAAATTATATTATATCAATATGTTTTTTTTTTAACGATAACAATTTCCTGTACTTTATGCAAGATTATATGTCATCTTGAGCAGTTTAATATTTTATTTATGCAAGATATTACATAAAAGTCCTGATTTATTCCAGAATTGATTGATTCTATATAGAATCTATAATAAGAATAAAACGACACTTTTAGTATCATCAACATCATATTTATTATGTCCTTCAGCAGTGCTTTATAAGTCTTCCCATATTAATGTCGAATATTGCGTTTTTTTTTTCCTTTGTTCGCTCGCACTCTCACATACATTACAATTAACATCGGCAAAAGAAAATAGAAGAGCATATCTCCACAAAACTACAGCATTGGCAAGAACGATTATCTTTACAATAATTATCTTTAGTACAGAGTAAAATAAATTAAAGTTAATTCAGTGCGCTACAGTTTTTATAAACATACAAGTATTCATAGGCACTAGAATAATAAATTATTGCTAAATTATTTATCAATAGTCCCTAATCGCGTTTACCTAGATCACGTAAAATTCAATTACCGTGTTGGAGCCAGTATAATGTATATATATATATTTGGTTTACAATTGCCTATTTAGATTTTAGAATGCATTGAACTTCATAGTGAGATCGTGTTATGAGCGATTTATTCGGTCTAACAGAGTAGAGATCAACTCGGAATATCTCTTGTTCTTCATTGCTTCAATCATATATATTTCCTCCTTTTTTGTAATGCTAAGGACCAGTTTCAGCAATATTCTATGACTCTAGCTTAACGGATTTCTTGCGAAAAAAACATATGAAAAGTAAAATTAAGAAGATAAAAATGTAAAATTATTTAAAATACTATGATACATATTTAATTATAGATACATATTACGATGTCAAAAAGAGATAATTCTTCCATGTTTTCTAAGCTTTAATTGCGTACTCTAAATACGTTTCGATAATTGCATCATGCCTTTAGGGAGGCAGGGGAGAGTTTTATATAATCTGCTTGGAACATATATACATATATCTATATTCACTCAATTGTCATGCTGTTTTCAATTGCATCATTATCAACGTTTCAATATTTCAAGCATTCGAATGATATGAATATCTTCAATACATATACTATAATAAATTTTTAGCAATAATTATATAGTATGCATGTTGAAATTTACATATATTAATGTAAAATTCACAATTTATTTAAATAAAAATTATTCAGAGAGACAACATATTGTTAATTTTCGAAGATTAAGCTACATTAAACTGTAGATAATGGCATAAACACAATCATAGCTTCTAATCCCTTGTTGGAAAATTTGAGTAACACTCACTGTGATTGTCAAGCATAATACACATAATTTTCACACGCTGTTTTTAATTATTTGTTTTTCATGAATTTTATAAAAATTATAAATTTTCAAAAATGTGTTCACTATGCTACAAATATCTAATAAAACAAATTTTTAATTAAAATTAGAATATTTTTTAATATCTGTATTTGTGATTTTATAATAAAATCACAAAAAAATAAAGAAATAACATTATTTTGTATTATGGGAGATAGGTATACACCTATATCCTATATATATTGCTTCCAGCAGATAAAGCTTATTCGATACCTTATGCTCTATTTTGCGGAGTAAACATGTAAAACATGTATTCTTCGTAAATAATTTCGTATTTGTAACCGTTATAAAATAATAGTAATTATTTACCAGTCAGTTTGAAACATGCTACACAACGAATATAATAAATATTCATTATAATTTTCTCGAGATCCGTTAAGCCGAATATGTGCTAAAACGAAAAAGTTTTGAGCAGACGAATTTGTTTCTTTTCATTGCATGTAACATTAGCTCAAACACTTGGATATAACGCAGCATTTTGTTATAGAAAGTTTATAATCAACACAATATTCTTATTATATGCAAATATACCACATATAAGAATTAGTCTTAGTAAAAATTAATCTTATTGCGGTTCCTTTTAAAATTGCGAACCGTTAATAAGATTGTCGGATTTGTCTTTAATGCATTCCCGCGCATTCTTTTTCGTACAAATCCGTCCAGTAGGATGTAAAAAGTATATCAACGTTCATATGGCACAAATAGAGTACATGCGAATGCTCGATGAGAACGATCATTACGAATATGAAAACTATATATAACGTTGACGTAATTCATTTTCCATAATAGTATCATGATCAACCGTTTGTGATTTGGATCGAATGTCGCGAGATACATATATATATATATATATGCTAAATTGCTCTTTACATATTTCCCGCATACTCCTGCGTAACAAATCACCTTAACTTTCTTTGGTTTCCCAATAATAAATCTTTTGGTAATTAAGCCACAAAATAATATTTCATATAAAGTAAATGTCTAGAGTTCATTTACAAATGATTAAAAATTGCATTCTATTTATATACTCTCTTGAACCAATGATCAATTTATACTGCAACGGAATCTTTTAAAATTTATACTGAATAGCTTCGTAATTAGATTTTGAATTTCGTCAAATCATATCTTTATCACTAACTTTCATACTTTGCGAGCTTCTTTGCATTTGCGTTCATTTTTTTCTTGTTAATGCTTTATCTTTTATTAAAAAAGATCTTTTTTTATTTACTGATTATAAACTGTTCAGCATGATTTCTTATTCCATAATAGCACATATTATTTTTATATATTTGTATGCGGTTCTATTAACGCGCATTATCTTAAAAGGATAAAATATTTATATGAAATAATTAATATAAAGCTCGATGACATATAAAATATCATTAATATTTGTCTGATAAGGCATATATAATATTTTTCGATTTTAATTTTTTCTTTCCTTTCATTGCTGAACCAATTAAAAGTTGAGTTTATATTAAAAGCAAAGAAGATGCAATAATTTGTTTGCTCTATCATTTGATGAACTAATCTACAATGTATAATAAAAAAATGAGTTTCTAAAAACGACCTGTTCGTAAACCATGAAATATCACACTTAACTCTCCAATATCTAAATTCATCGATCTTTTGGCAACTCCATAGCAACATGAGTCATGCCTGTAAATGTAAAAAAATTCATATCTTTGCATATTATTATTTTATTGAAGACTTTTAAGAAAATATGAGATTCAGTAAATGAATAAATAAAAAAAGTTTAATATAAATTGTCTCATATTAACAAATAATCTGTTTTGATTAAAAAGCTTTACTAATAAATAAAAAACTATAATAAAAGTAAAAAATTTATCAAATAAAAATATAATAAATAAAGATAAAAGCATTTAAAATTTATTTGCTGACAGAACTTGATGAAATAAAATAATTAGAATTTAAGTACTTTCATATATAAATAATAAATAAAATTTATTGATTTTTTTCACTTCCTAAAATATTATATAATGTTATAATATAATATAATTTACCTTCAGAATAATATCAGAAAAACGCAATAGATAATTAACTTCTCATTGCACAACACAATTTTTGTTTCGTTGAGCTAATCCAGCGCGAGACAAATCACGCTCTATTTCGTCATCATCTTCAATGCTAAAAATTATTCAAGAAAGCAAAATTTGATAATCTTAAAAAAATATATAACTCAATGTATAGTTTTTTATATACTTACGCTCTCTCTTGCGTGTCGAGATGATGTACTAATTCATCTCTTTTGTTCACAATAGATACTAATTCTTCCAATAATAAATTTTCACGCATTTTTTGCTCAGATGTTTTTCGCCAATCTTCTACAGCGAGAATACTTCTTAATTCGCGATTCAAAAGTTCAAATCTTCGCTCGAGATCATCTTCTTTCTCTCTAAAGATAAAAAGTTTCATTTAATGAAATGAAATTATTGCAATAATTGCATCTTATCTGATTCTTAATCAAAATTGAGATTAAAGATTTGTAAATAATCTACTTGTGAATCAATAAATCGCTTACAATATGTTCAGTTGCATTTGCCTCCTTAAGAGCGCATTTTTCTTATTAACAAGAGTAAACCACAAAGACATCAATCTTTCCGTTTCATCTTCGTTATCGCTCTCCATGGCTGCTCTCAATTGCTTTTCAAGCTTTCCAGCCTGAATGTCAATCTGATTCTGTTCTCTTTCAAGTGCTTCGAGCTCGTTTTGAATGTATGACGTCATATCTTTGCCCAACTAGAACGTCGAATTGTCAAGTAGCGTTAGAGATGAATAACTCATCATTAGAATTTAACATTAAACATGAGTAATAAGATTACTTCAAGTATGTACTGTATATTGCTTCACAACTTCTTCAAATACATTCAAATTAACATACCCCACGAAGTGTATATGGAGTTCTGTCAGGGCTTCCCTTATCAGGTGAGATTCTTTCAATAATTTTGGAGAAGGAATACAAAGGAGAACCTGTTTTCTTTTCTCCATCTATCACACTCGAGTTTCCCAGTATATTTCCATTATACTCTGACTAAAAAGTTAGTTATAATTTGTTTAACAAGTGAATAATAAAAAATGTTGAGAAAGATAGATGATATCGCATGTACCTCTTGCATTACCTTTATACTGAGCCGATCACCAGGTGTCGACGGTGTAATGCTACGTCTAGGACTGTTATTCTGATCATCTATCGATCGTCTATCACTGTTATTATCGTCATTCAGTTGACTCGGAGTAACAGCAACACCCATTTTTACTTCTGCTATCAATCGTCTCGCCCTTTCCCGCAGATGCTGTTGTCTCTCATCGTCGTTCTGTGTCTATAAACATGCGTGTTATATGCTCACAGCCGCTCAAAATTATATTTCTTGATACAATAATAACAAATAAATTCTTTAATCGTTATGTAAATAAAAATATAGAACCTCGACGGGACTGATTGCAGCGGAAACAAATCCGGATGGCTTCGTCTGATTCCTGGCTTGTTCTAAGAGTTGCCTCGCCCGTTCTCGCAATTCATCATGCCGGCTAACTAATGGCTAATAAAAGAGAAGTAAACATGTAAAAGAGTGCGACCATCGTACATTTATAAAATTTCCTTTCATTTATTTGGAATAACTTTGGTTCTATATTATTATTGAGATATATGACATGACATTAAAAGCGATATTAAAAGCACAAATGTTGTTAATTACATGTTGTGAACGTTGGTCTCCGTACGGCGGTGATGCACCTTGACATTCGGAACTACCTCGACTTCCTCTATCGTCAGAGTTTACCGAGTCCTACAAAAGACTGTTCTCAATATGTATGCAGAGCGTTGTGGCGTCAAGGTATTGTTGCAAAGCTTCTTCATGAATATACAATACAGACCAAGAATATTTTCGCACGCGACAAAAATAAACGAACGCAAATTATTGAAGCGACAATGTGATTACATTGCATAAAATTGTTAAACTTGCAAGTTATTATAAATGCTATAATTATGGCATTACAAAGTAAAAAATATTTATGTTATTTTTAAAAACAACATATCGAAAAGATAGTTTAAATTTGCAGGGAAAAGAAATATTATTAAAATAATTTATAATTTTCTTCGCATATTACCGAACGTTTTTGTTATAAAAGTGCAAGATTTTGCAAAAAAGTTCTTATCTCTTAGAAATACTCTTTATAATATTTAAATTTTCAATATATATATTTCAATATAAATACTTTGATAGTAAAAAAAGAAATTATAAAATTATGAGTACATTAGAATTGATTAAAAGAATGAAATCGTTGAAATTAAAGTAACACTAATTTTTCAAGAGAAGCTTATGAGACAGCTCATACAAGTCTACATTTCGTGCATCGCGGAACAAATTATTCGCGCGATTTCTTCATGCATAGATTTTTACATGCAGTTAATGGAATGTAGGCGTTTCGGCCGTCAAGAAGCACGATTTATAATTTGTTCGCCTGTAATAAAAACGAAAAGTAATGAAACAGATTTTTTAGAAGGCAATGCACTTCGTTATAATTCGTCGATGGTAAGAAGTAATAATAGAAATAGGTACAACACAGTGCGCGTTATGGGTTTATTATTAATGTAGCGAGGTATAACAGAAGGAATGCATAAAAAGCGACAGTTTGCGCAATCTCGTATATACTGACATCACGGACCGGACTTTGCGATTTGGTAAGCGAGATCGATTGCGACCATTTGTCATCGATAATCTGTATGTTCTCCTCTTCGTCGTCGGATCCGAACGGATCGGTTAATTGCCGGCGTGTCATAAGTATCGGACGTTGCTGCGCTTGTTGCACTCTCGGTGGAGATTTGCTCTGCGGTGAATTGATATTTCATTTCTTCACAACGAAACGAATTTACGCGCGAATTCCATTAGATATTATACGCGACGTTTCTCTGGATAATTTTCGGGAAACGCACAACATCAAAATTCACTCGAGCTCATCTCGTGTGTTTCTACGTACCTTTTCTCTCGACGAATACTTTTCCTTGGTCGGTGACAGCACTTTGCCCAAAATGCTCTTTGAACTAGCCAATATGATGTCCTTGACTTCCTTCACGCTGGATGGTGATTTGTCTTTGTTACATTGATCGTAATCCTGATTGTCCGTGTTTAGACTCAAGTGCAGCTTGTTTTTTAATGAATCGATGCAAATGTCGTCCTTCTTGTTATCGAACGGATTCGACCTACGAGAATGAATCGCAGTTTCTAATCTTGATCTTGATATTCTATCGGGAATGTGCTTAGAACTGGCAGTTTGACAGATTACACAATGTCGTTGAATTTACCGTCTATTGCTCTCCGTTTTATTGTTTTTCTGATCGATCTGTTCCTTCTTCCGTAAGTTAATAATCTCTTGACCAAATAGCTGCACACTCACATCTGTATTGTTGTCTGTGTTAAATCTGCCGATCATGTAAGAGGATTCGTCTGTTGTTTTACCTATTTGATGTACCTAGATTTTGAAAACAATAATGTATCATACCATGCTTTGTAATATTATGTAGTAGTATTATATAAAAAGGAGAAGAAAAACAAGTGCAATAATTAAATAAAGTCATTACACATAAAGAAATGTGGTTGAAATACCTCCAGTTCGTGACCAGTAAAATGCGCTCTCAATTGATACAAATATGTCATCACAGCTAATTTATCAGGTACTGTTAATATATCCATGTCAGCTGGTTCAATAACTCTGGGTATGCCCAAAGCTTCGCCCGCATCAAACGCTTTCTTACAGTTGCCTTTTACATCGTGCGGCAATAAAGAATCGATGTCTCTACAAGTGTTTACTTTGTATTCAATTAAATTCAATCGAAAAAATCTCACGAATGTTTGATTTAATTCAATAACAAGATTACTTATATAATTAGCTTTCGACACATCGATAAGAATTAATTAATGCCGAAAAGATTGAAGAAGCATATTTACATAATTTTATCTGATTAAAATAAATCTCTTAAATTTTATATTATTTTATTTTTAACAATTATTTTATAAAACGTGTATTCTTCTTTCTTTACATTTTTTCATCATCATTATACGTAATAATTATTGCATATTATTATACAAAAATATACAAATGCATTGACCTTTCCAACATCAAAAATAATCATCACAATGTTGGCACAAGTCTCTTGATGCAAGACAATGACGATTTCAAAGTGTTTATTAATGGAAATACACGAATAAAATAATCGGCATATTGCCAAGATTATCTATTGACATTTTATCTCAAGAAAAGAGAACAAGACACTTTATGATAATTATATTTTGAGATAATCTTTATAAGAATACTTACATCAAATCAGGTCTGAAATGATGGATAATCGCGCAAAATGCCATTCCATTTCTCCAAGATGTCGTCAAATTAGTGACTTTGACACCGGGATAATCTTTTGTAACTTCTTTACACCACTCCAACAAATCTTGGCCCGGAGTGATCTCTTTCAATCTTGGAACATTTGCGTCATTCTTTTTGAGATCTAATGGTTGCAGCGGCAATCTCAATGTGCTGTGTTCAATGTTTTTACTATAAAGATATTAAATTCATTCTTATTGCATTATTTAATATATTATATAGGATAACAAATAAGAGTAACAATTCTGCTGTCTCTTATAAGTAAAATAAATAAAAATTGAAAATTTTTAGTGAAAGTAATATATAAAATTATTGCTAATTGTATAAAAAAATTATTATTACCAATTATATTAATAATGTATTTCAAATACATACGCGCGCATGTTAGTTTATATAACATTGTACGTACTCATTTTGAACAGCAACATTGTCTTTTATGGGTGACTTTTCCTTTAAAGAATCCCCAATTCCTGTTAGACTAATGTCGCGTATAAAATGTTCTCCATCGTTTACAGGAGTTGTATCATCCTTTGATAAACTTGCCACTATTGCAAATATACATCTCATAAATTTCGTAAATTATAATAAAATTAACAAAACAATATAAGTTATAATAGTAAGTATAATAATATAAAAAAGTATAACAATATTAACTATTTATAATTAATTTAATTACATATTTTATAATTATTCTTGGACACAATTTCATAATAATAAGAAGCAAGAATTATACTCACCACTTATAGGAGTACTAGGTAATTCACTTTCAGTAAGACTACTCGTCATTAAATCAAGCTGAGCTGAAATATCTAAAATTTCATCCAAATTTTTTACCGATACTTCTTCAACATCTTCAGGTATATCTTCATTGTCAAAATCATCTAATGGTGCAATATCGCTGTTATTATTAACCGACATTAAACTAGCCATACTCTGCATATCCTCATCCCTAGAAAAATAAAGACAATTAAATATTTTCTGATAAATAAGCAATGTTTTAATAAATATTTTAAAAAGATTAATATACATTCAGCATACTATCTTTGGAACGTATTATCTTTTTTATTTGAAATAAATTTAGCTATACAAATGGCAAAACCTTTGCTTAGCTTACAAAATTAATTAGCAGTGTGTCAATGAAATTAAACTGTACACTTACGTCGCCTTGCCCTCTCGCAGAAACACACATGACAAAGTACATTCGAGTGTAGCACTAACAATCTTTTTAGAAGTTGGCTTCAGGTCCAGTTTTAGTTGTTGCTGACTAGATTCTAAGGTCGCATATTTTTTCATATTTATATTGGTGGCAGCCACATGGCGTCTCTTTCCCGTCGATGATACCTATTCGAGAAAAGAAATAATATCCAAATATCTTATAATATGCCTTTTTGTAAATATATCAGCTTACATCTTCGATAACAAACGTCCAATCTTTATCTTCTAGCTCGTGCGTTCGTGGATCTTTAAACAGTGTTACGGAAACTGTATGATTGTCAGGGACTGCCCAGCTAATAATACCCTTCAAGGGATCGCTCAAACATGGCTCCCAATCTAAAGGTTCTGAACTAACTCTTCGACTGCGTCTTGTCCAAACAACACTCAGTTTATTTGGTTTCCTAAAGAACATATTATAACTTTGTATATTTATTCTTTCTCTAGAGCATGCTTGGTATATTTTTATAGAATTATTTTTTAAACTTCTTAGTTTTATAATAGAATGCAATTATCTCGTTCATTTGATGTATTAAAATTTATTTAATGTATTTAAATTATTAAATTAATTAAAAATTAACATATCTAAATTATATACTATATCATATTATGTTATCATAAACATAAACATGTGACAAGCAATTATAACACAAAGATGCCTAACATTAGAGCAAAAAAAATCCCAATAGCTCCCTTCCCCCCCTCCCTCCCCCGCATTCGTAAACATAATTGCTTCTGTTTTTAAAAATAAGACATTAACATAACAATTATACCCGGACTCTCGACTTGCTAAATAAATGCTTGTGTAAATGAAAAAGGACACAGCGTTAATTTTTGCTCGAACGATAGCGCTCCGCGTGATCGAGAGGAGCGCGACGAAAGAAAAACTCGCGCTCGACTCGGGAACGCGAATCAGCGTCCAGCTCACCACTTGGTCGTCGTCTCGAGCGTGACCTCGTGGTAAGAGACGGTGAACTGAAACTTGGCAGCTCGCTTGTTCACCCGCTGCAGGCGTTTCCACACGGAACTCATGTTGCCGCTTCTTCCTTCCGCTCGTGATGATTCGGGACTCGGCTCGCGAGACGACGGGTCTTTCTCACTGCTGCTGACGCGCGAGCGGAGCGCACTTTGTCATTTCCGCGAACCGCACGCGCGCGATCGGGCCGCGGAAGGGTCGAGGGCCGAGGTCGCGGCCGCGAGGACGGAGCGCGGAAGACGACGGACGATCGCGCACTTCCCGGAGCCCGGACGACGTTCTCACCTCAACGCGCGCCCCCCGCGAGCTGCGCTCATATGTTCGACGGACGGATTCTCTGCTCGGCTCACGCGCGCACACGTTTCCGGAACGAGCGAACTGTCATCGTTCACACGCGTCCGTACGTACGTACGTACACTCTCGCGCGCGCGCATGCATGCATGCACGCACGCACGCACGCACGCACGTACACGCGACGCGAAATACACCAAGGCGGCTGGAAGGCCTGGAAACCCTCTCACCCAAGATCGCTCCTAAATCCCGTCCCCTTCTGACGAAATCAGCCGAGAAACCACGAGAGACTCGGACGTCGAGGTTCTCTCTTGAAAAAGTGGGGATCGCTCTTAGCGTTGCTGTCTCGTCATTTACATTCGTCGGTCTTGCAGGAACCCACGTGGCCTGAAGGATTTGGTGAACGCTACCAGAGTTGTACGTCTACACGTAAACATAAAACATAAATAGTCTACATTACGTGTAAATAATGTAAGCTACGTATAAAATATCGTAACATACGTAAATTATGTATATCATTTATGCAAACTATATGGATAGAAGATTGTTATACATATGTAGCATATTTTATTTAGATATATATGTGTATGATAAATACATACATGATATAAAATTAATCAAAATAAATTGATATTTTTATTTGAACCTGACATGTAATATGGTGAAAATTTGATATCATTTACTATTTTTTAATTTTTAATATTATTTTTATTATCAATATACTAAACTCAAATATATTAATAATTTTAAAATTTAATTATTTTTCTGTATTATATTCTGTATCGTAATTATTTTTTTCCTGTGTTATATCTTCGCATTGTAATTTATAATTTACATGTTTATGTTATATACATATATGAAAATGATTCGTATAAACCTCATATAAATAATGTTAAAAAATCTGTAGACGTAATCTTGAAATATATGACACTCTGACGCTAATGTTTTATTGGGAAATATTACAGTTGAAAAGAAAATGTAATACATGAGATGTCGATACAGATATAATAATAGAATTCATGAAAAAATACGTAATAATACGTAACATTTTAATATATATTCCATCAATATATACATAAAAAATATTTGATTCATTTTATAAAATTGTATAACATATTGTGCTTACGTTCTGTAACATTAATGCATTAAATATATTGCATAATATGTGACAACAGTAAATGCAAGATATTTGTTATTCACAAAATTCTTTTACACAATGAAGAAGCTGAATTGATTTAACAATTTCTATTAACAATAAACTTCTTATAAAAGTTGTCCTAAATGCATTTATAATTCATCTCTCTTTTCGTCAAAATTTAAATCATAGTTGTCTTGACTATTATTATCATTGTTGTTATCATAATCATCATCATCAATATAATTCTCATTGCAAATATTTGAAATTCTCGAACAAAGTTCTTCTTTTTTATTCTCTACACCATCAACATATAACGACACTATATCTTCCTCAAATTCATCCATTATAGTACTACACTGAAAACCATTAGTGTATAAGTTAATAAAAAATATATCTCCAATCAATATAAAACATAATAAACAGTACTTACATAATGTTGAAGGCTTTTATTTAAGTCACCATCCTGAATTATATCTACTTCACTCATCATAGGATTCATTCCACCTGATGGAGACATGAGATTAAAAATTGTTAATTGATTGTTAGACTTCTTCGTTGCTCTCACATAATCTGACAACTTATCGCAGATATTGTCCAGCAAAATCAAAATATGCACTTCAGATTGGCCTAATGGAATCTTAAAATATCAAATTCCATATTACATTATCAAAATTGAATGTACAAAGTAAGGAAATAAGTATAGAAAAAAAGCAAAAATATTTCTAATCTCTAGTAAATTTAATATCAATCTTCATTCTTTCTTGATCATATTTTTCATTTTGTTACCTTCTTACGTATAGTATTTCCCTCAGCATCCATTCTAAAATTACCTACGTCAACTAATTTGTTTGGATTAGCCTTTAATACCTCTGCCTCTATTTCATTCATGGTTGCCCTACAAACTGTAAAGGAAAATTATTTTCATTAATCAATTTTGGTATTGTTAATGGCTAAAATGAAACTGTCATTTTGACATTGAGTTTTACCTAAACATTTTAGATGCTTTAAATCAACTTCTTTTGCCTCTATCCGAGCGATTATCAGAAACAGACCACAAAGCAAGGTTTTCATCTACAAGGAAGTAAATGTACAAATATTGTACATAAATTTTGAATTATATATTTGATAGCTAAAATAGCATAAAAATAAATGTATTATACTCACTGTACGATTTTTATACGTATGCAATGTCAAAAAATATTCTTATTTTGTGTGTAGAGTATTGAACAAATTGTGAGACTTTCTCAGTGATATTTTTTTATAATAATAATATAACTAAAATTCTGAGCACCACGACATGCGACACGTATAACGTGCATCTTCTAATCTCACATGATGATGTGTAAAATATATTGTGACATTTGTATAAACGAATGACAGTTCGTAACGTGTAATTCCGATGATGCCAACTGTTCAACTTGAAATGATTTTATTATAGAAGACACATTTCTGTCAAAATATATAAATAAATATAGCAACTGCAATTCGATTCTCAATAACAATACAAACAATATGAGTAATTTGTTTGTTTTATTATTTTACAAAAATATAAAAATGAAATTTTAAGTGCTACTAATAGTCGCTTTCGAGTCGGTTCAGTGGATCGTGTTTTATCCCTATAGAAAGTTTCTTTGTATTGCGTCATCACGCACTTTCCGCTATTGCTCGTCACCTTTCGGCTTTTGCTCGCAATTATCGTTTTGATTTACTTTTTCATATGAATCATGGCCTGTGTTCATAAGGAAGTTACGGCTGTATGAAAGAAAAAGGAAAAAACTGCAATGAGATATATATTATTTAACCTTAACTTTAACCTTTAACTTAACCTTGATCTCGCTTTTTACATATATATGTACAACACATTCACACGTACATAATTTCTTCAAAATTAAACTAAAATATTGTTTATAACAATCGAAAAATAGTAACGAATTACACATTATCTAATCTTAAGTCACATTTAATGTAAAATTGTATTATTATTACAGGCAGTTTGTCATTTTTATGATAGATTACAAAAAACGAAGCTTATAAAAAGAAATTAATTTCTCTATATATAAATATCGCTTGTAATAAAGTAAAAATAATTGAAAAACGTTTTACTATTTACATAGCTATAAAAGAACTTTTCTTTTTTCTTATCTTATTCACTTAAAATTCTAAAGATACTTTTGCACTTTATTCTGATTTTTTTTTATTATTCAATGAGGCAAATGAGAATCAGCATTGTTGACAGTGCGCAATTAACTCTTTATTACAAACTTTAATCATCAGTCATTGTGTTCAGTTACTGCCTGGAGCTCAAGTATGGACACGCTGTGCAAGGTGCCGCTTGATACGAACCATGTTATAATCCTGCACTATTCTCTCCATTTCAGTGTGAATTGTGTTCATCTGATGATTGACAGCCTGTTGGTGACTATTATCTCGTTTTTTTTAGAGATGACATAAATATATACGCTTATAATAATTAATCAATGATTTTATCATTGGTGAGTTCATCAGATGAACACAGGATCTTTAATTTACATCCACTGAAGATGACTCAAACTTGAGTCAAAACGTTCGTATTACATATTAAAGTTTGTAATAAAGAGTTAATTGCGCACTGTCAACAGCGCTGATTCTCATTTGCCTCATTGTTTCACATTCTACTTAACACCGAGAATCTTTCTAATATTTTTTTATATTAATATAAAATTCCAATTATAAAATTCCAATAGATACGTTAACACATGTCGGACTACGGCACATATGTTAAAGAAGTTTGACAATTTATTGGACAGGAATGCAAGTTTTTATCATCATATATACATTTCGATTTGAAAATTTTGAATTAGTCTAATAGATTATCAAGCTTTACCTAAATTAAAATAACTACAAAAAGTATGATTATCCAATACGATTTGAGATGTATGTGCAAAGGCACTTCTTCTTAATCCTAAATAAAATGAATAAAATTAATGATCACGATTCCACCTCCAGATTGTTGCATCATCACAAACACACAACAATACAGAACCGTCTCGGCTTAAGCTGGTTTGACGAATTGGCGCGGTACAACGAGGATGTTGAAGAGACCAGCAACGCGCTTGCCCAGGTTCATCCACGTCCAAATCCCAAACATAAGTGCGGCCAACCTGATTCCCCAATGCAATCGTGCGTTGCCAAAAATCCATGGAGAAACGTATAAACCAGATATCACATTCTTTGAACTCGAAACGATGCAAAACTGTCGCGCTTGTTTCTCCACTACGTAGCTGCGAATCCTCAAGTCTACCCGGTTTCCAACACACAATACAATTCTCACAGGATTTGCTCAAAATAAAGTCGCCGAACCACTTCACACAGTCGACATAATTCCGATGCACGTCGCGAGTGGTAAAGTCAGGGAAGTGTTGGAGAATTGAGTCGAAGGGTCTGCCGTTGCGAGTGGGATTGCAATGATAAGACTGCTTTATTGCCTCTTGCATGTCTGGTTTGTCCAAGGACCATAACTTAAGAGCATGATCCATTCCACACGAGATAATCCTTTGGCCTTTTATGTCGAAATCAGCGCTTAAGACTTCGTCTCGGTGACCTTCGACACCACCAAAGATCGCGATACACACGTCTGTCTTGATGTTCCACAATCGTAAAGCATGATCCTTTGATGCAGACAACAGAATGTTTGGATCTTTTGGATGAATCTTTAATTCGTTTATCGCATGTCCGTGACCAATGTAATGTTTGATGCAAGTCATTGTCGCGGGACTAATAACTCGGATGACCCCACGTGATCCTGCCACAGCTAACAAGGGTTTTCCAGAATCATCGTAAGTCCATGCACATGTATAAAAATTCTCCTCTGTATCCGGGTCAGCATAACATTGTTGTAGCCGTATATTTCCGCTCTGTGGACATTCATAAATACTGACGCGATTGCTGCCCACAGAGGCAAAGATTAACGGTTCACCTTCTTTTAAGTGATAATTAAATTGTACACCAAACAAAGGTTGCCCATGATCTTCCTTGACGCTACAGCAGTATTTGTATAATGGTTTATCTATAGAAGGTTTATACTTTGCTGTTTTACTTCTTCGACGACCTTTCCGTTTATAACGGGCGCTGCGAGTAGGTGTATCACTGCGATGAGTGCCAGCAGTGGAATTGCTTCCAATGCTGCATTCTGTTACATCACTGTCATTCTCGCTGTCCTCCTGACTGGAAGTATATGTCTTACTGCTCGATTTTTTCATCTTGCTGAGTTTATCAATCTAAATATTATTGATGCAACGGTTCACAAAATATAACATTCTGTTTTTAAATTATCAATAAATTATTCAGCTCTCTGTATGTACATTTTAATTGTGTTTTACTACAGTTCCAATAACTGGTATACCACTGGTTAATCCTAATACTCCTTCTGTTATATTTAAAATTCTGCTTCCTAAATATATGCAGGCTTGTGTATTCTAAAACCAAAAGTTTTTCTTAAATACTTGAATCATATACTATATATAAATGATTATAGTCTTGAGAACAAACTCACAGAAATATTAGTAGAGAGAAAATGAATATTGTATTTATGACAAAGATTCTTCGATTTATAGATTAATCCCGTAACATTAGATATCCCATTACAATTCACCAAACAAACTGCACCAGAAGTGATGTAGTTCTCATCTATTATGGCTATGTTAGCTTCTATCTTGAAAATTATTAATGGCCATTAATAGTAATTAATCACATCATACAATAAACAATGATTAATAATAATTTATAAATAATATAAAAATATAAGATAAACAATTTTATATAATGATTTTAAAAATAATTTGCATAAAGATCAAAGACTTACTTCTGACAAGGTGTTCAAAATTCTTAAATTAAAAGCAAAAATAATAAAATCCACAGAGATTTCCAATTTTGCTTTTATAACATCAACAATAGATTCACACTGATGTATACAAATATGCCACTTTCTTTTCTTTGCACTTTGATGTAAACCCTTTGATATCTTGTCACATAATTCAGCTGATCCTACTATCTGAAAGAATTTTCTATTTAATATATTCATATTAACAATTGTATACCAATATCGCTAAAATATTTAATAAATCACAATCATAATATTCATCTGCATATTTTTATTAATTTTTACATAAGAAGCACCGTTAATATATAGTAGAATTTATTAGAAATAGAAGAAATATGTTATTCTTTTATATAAATCAAATGCACAATAATCTGTAATCTTAAATCTTATTAAAAAATTCGCCGGAAAATTAAAGTTATATATATTCGCTTCTCATTAATTATAATAAAAAGATAAAAAGCGCATCAAATAATTTTATAATGAAAAAGAAACAGATTAATTAGTTAGTTTATCAATGAATTAATTTATTAATGTAAGTCCACAAATTTTATGTAATATGTCAAAAATGACAATTTTTATTCTTTACTTGAAAAAACACATATACATTAAGTATGCAAAAGTGTTCTTCTTTTTTTTTTTACCATCTAAACTCACCATAAAAGCAATCAAACACTCATCTCTCCGAACTAAGCCGCTTTTGAAGATTTCGGCCATGATTGACTGAGGGCCATTAACTCCGGTTAACGCTATCGGTTAATTTGCCAGCAGAATTGCCAACAGCAAAAAATCCAAAATCGGTCTTGTACTTCCTAATCTATTCATAACAAAGAAAAAGTAGTTGTAGAGTGTGAATTATAATAAAGTAAGTAGTATATAAATGTATGCTTTGAAATATAAATACAAATGTTTATAACAAGAAATTAGGTTAGAAATGATGAATTTTTATTTTTGCAGTTGGCAGTTCTCAAATTTAACTGCGCTGTCTAACTTAACCAGAATTAGTGAGCCGTGGCTATGACCAGTGTTGTAAAACAGAAGGCCATTGCATGTGAAAATGTTTTAACGTATGTAGCTTCGTAGAGTTGTAAGCAAATCAACCAATTATAATCAAACATTCTGGTTACATGTGAAAATATCTGGCTGTGATTGGTCGATTTATTTATGGCTTCAAAATTGTTCTTACCTATGTAAACAAATTTTGACATATAGGCTGGTATTCATAGTCCGTTCTTATATTTAAGGAGAGCTTTCCAGCGATATAGTGTAACATAAACTTAGTTTACACTTAGCCGTCTAATCCCGGTTCACTTCAAAATGAAGTGGATTTAGGGAGCGTTTACACGGATTACGTTACAGCGGATTGATCTTACTGCGCTAAGAAAAGAAGAAGAATTAAAGAAAGAATTAAAGTGGATCAAAATTAATTCGTTTATACTTAAGAAATATTATTTCATTCCGAAGTGAATCGGGGTTGAACGGCTGGGTATAAACCAAGTCACAGTGTCGCTATACGTGCTTTCCTGTTACGACACAACACAACACATTTCAACACAGCTACGAAACAGAGTCGGACTGTGTTTTGCATCATGGTTGCCAATTTTTAAACTTTTATGTTCGTAACACTGAATAGTGAAAAAGAATTCTGTCTTTTTCTGTTTCGAAATTAATCACTTATTTAAGATTTGTTTAAGTGTCAGTCCACAATAGGTGATTTAAGCTTTAAGAAGAAATTGACCAATTATAATCGAATATGAAAAGAATAATCGACTATGATTGGCCAATTTCTTATGACTTAAAGATTAAATACTTATTGTGGACCGACACTAAGGCATTCTGTAAATCTATTCTCTAACGACAATTCGGTGTCGTTATACTGTTATTGCGCAGATATTTTATATGATAATATAATGATACCGAATTGTTTTTAAGAATTCATCTACAGAATAGGCTAGCTAGAAGAAGAAGAAGAAAAGATTATTTCTTCGATTATTGCTGTGACACTGGCAAATATTTTAAAGGTTGTAAAAATTAAACGATCGTAAGCGGACATGAAAGAGATTCGGAATATAAACAGCTAACAGTGAGCCATCGCAGTCTTGGCTAAATCTTGCAGGCTAAGTCTTGGTAGTAGGCGAAGGATCCCGAGTTCAAATCCAGTCGTCTCCATTTATTTTTCCGAATTTAATAAATATCTTTCAAGATTATGCTCGAAAATGAAGCAATCAAAACCTTCAACAAATTTCAGCTAGCGTCAATTGGTGACAATACCTAGAACTAAAAGATATTCCATCAAGCACCCAACATTGTGTTTTAATTATGTGACACAGTGTCTATCTGTGTCTTCTTGCTGGAAAGCTCCCAAGATCATCTTAAGCAAGTTCATACAGTTATCCTATTGGTTGAAACATTATTTTAAGACGATCTTAAATATAAGAACTAACTATGAATATCGATCTATGAATACTATGGCCTATGGCTGGTATTCATAGTCCGTTCTTATATTTAAGATCGTCTTAAGTAAGCTTATACGATTATCTTATTGGTTGAAATCTGAATAATTTTAAGATGATCTTAAATATAAGAACTGACTGTGAATACCGGCTTTATGGCTCTCGCACACTCAACGAGCGATGAGCGATGTCCAATGAGAGCTTTGCTTTCGAATGTAAAAGCGTTTGAAAAAGCAAAACTTTCATTGGACATCGCTCATCGTTCGTCGCGTTCAGTGTGCGAGAGCTATTAGAATCGATTCAGGAATATAATATTTTAAGGATAAACGGTTGTTCTGAAACGGTTGTTCTGAATCATCCTTATTGTACCAATATAGAATGTTCGAATTCTATTCTATTTATGACTATAAGTTTAATTCAATTTTTGCAGCATTTTTCTAACTATAACGGAGAATTTGATATTTGCTTAATTTTTGCTGATACATCTGTTATAGTAGCCCATACTTCTTCGCCGACATAATATCCAACAAATGATTGTTGATAAAAAAAAATTCCTTTTTGATAATTCAAAAAGAATTCTTTAACATTATACAAGAATTCTTAAAACATTATACATTTTGACTCTGCAGACCCTTCTGTAATTTTTTGTGTTATAAAAGAATCAAATAGTGTCCAATTAATTTTGTAAATTTATGTCAAGAAGTATGTGTTCCAAAATTACAAGTTACTGCTATTACTGATAATGTATAATACACGTCACGTTAACTATAGATTTTCAATACTAATAATGAATTTTAGAATATCCAGATGTCGATTGCTTTTTAAAAAGAAAATAGCCTTAATTAGTTAAATTTACTTATTTTATTTTCAAATTCCATTCGTAATTTGAATGTGGCAGTCTAAACCTATCACTCACTTTGCTCACCACGATGTGTGACATAGAAATTGAATCAAAATTTTTTTCTTTGACGCACGATCTATTCAAACTTGCATAGCTATATAATTATATATACAAGGAAAATTATGCAGTCGCATTTTTATTATAAGACTACATGTAAAATGCAATTGAATAATTTTCTTTATGCATGGTTATACCATTTTATTCGAATAGGCCCTCACAAAAAATGGTCACGTTGATTCTAGATGTTTTCTATAGGCTACGTTCTGAATATTATCTAAGTATATGTGCATACCCTCGCGTATTAGAGACACTAAACTTTGGCCACGGCCTCCGGCTACGATTCTGATCCGCCAATCAGAGACTCTGATCCGCCATATTTTGATGACTAAATCTTACGAAAGAAAGAAATATATATCATCTCACTCTAACCAATAGCCATATTTTTTTACTTTGCATGTGCATTGATTTAAGTATATTATGCATGTGTATTAAACACGTGGAAAGCGTGATAATATATTATTAAATAATAGAGATACTAAAATTGCAAAATATAGTCATAAATTAATTAATTGTGATAAATCAATACAAAAAATGGATGGATGTTTTTTTTACTTAAATTTTATTTTATATTGTAATAAAGTTTGTTTATAATAATAATAAATATGTATAATAATCCTTTCTAAAAAAAGGCATGACATCGATATTTGCATCTCTCGAAATTTCCTCGAAGTTTATTGTTGACGCTTTTCTGCGATGGGTTCTCTCGCTGCGCTAACTTTGTGAATAGCTGTCATTGATTTCACAGAGGATCGTTTTGACAATTGTGTATCAAAAAGTTAAAAATATTATAGTATAATAGTATTATATTAATTTTTGCTCTTGTGTTGAAAAAGATAAATAGCGAAAAAAAATAAATAAATAAATTTAAAATCATCAAAATTAAAGGATATATATTAATAAATTGGTAATATAATTATGTAAAATTATGTAAAATAAAGTTTTATAAATATACACATTTTATTACCTTTAAAACGCTTATGTTTTTAAATTATAATGTTACAATTTAAGATTAATGTAGTTAATATATTTGAAAATAAGTGGGAATAGCCAAAAGATGGCGGATCAATCAAAAGTTGCTTTTTTGTGACCAGTCTCTGATTATAGTGTCTCTATCGCGTATTATTTTATCCTTATTTAATATTTGACGACAAGGATAAAATGATACACGGAGATATTCGAGTGGTGTTTCCCAATTTAGTCAACACAAATGTTCTATCTTCATTCAATAAGTAACAAAGACAAAATGGTACTTGTGTCACTAAATAAAAAGTATCTTCCTATTTTCAAGCATCCAAGAGATTATTCCTTCATCCTTTAATATGCGGTAGATAACACTTGGGTGCAAATACTTGGGTCCACTTAGTACTATAAATGCTTCAAAGCATTTTTTGATTGGTCAATTCATAAAATTCTTTGTTCTGATTGATTAATCAAACACTTCGAAGCTTTTGTAGCGCTAAGTGGACTGTAGCCAAGGATGCACACCATGCGAGAACAGAAATGTATCCATACAAGATAAACTGAAAGAAAAAAATGATCCAGACTCGTGACGAGATGTCACATGTACACTAATAGCCAATCGGCATGTGTGATGATTGTTTCACAAGTGAAGCATGTTTGACGGGATGTTGACGCACAGTATATTAGTTGATACTAGTTTCCGACAGCAAGTAAAGTAAAAAATTAAAACTTAAAAAATAATCTCATTCGTTTTATAATGTACTTCCAATTGTCGAACGGTAAATTAGAAGGATTTTGCAGGACATATATTTTCTATGAAAAATAAAAATATTTATTTTTACATTTCAGCATGAAATCACGTCTACAATAAATTATCCAACTTGCGATTTGGCGAAGGTAGACGAGCTGAAACGATTTTATTTTACAAATTCAAGATGACATCAATTGATGGTTGGAAGTTGAGTCGTGTTCTAGGCACAGGAGGTTTTGGCATTGTTGAGCTTTGGACGCATGTTCAGAGTGGCAAAAAAATTGGTAATACTCTAGTATATAAGTAAATATAAGTGTAAGATATATATATATATATTT